ATGAATATATTGATACCACACACTTGGTATTTCGAGTCAAATTGTCGTTATGAACCACGTGTTACAATTACAATTAAACCATATGCGAAAGTGTCAAAAGTTGACATATGATATGTCATTCTATTCAGAGTGTCATTTTCTATCAAATAAAGTAGAAATATACCGAGGGTGCCGTTTAAAAATTAAAAGTTATAGTCATTTCCGGTGAAACAGAAAGTGACCAAAAACAATTGAATGCGTCAATCAATCCTAATTTATGTCATATACTAACATACTAAATCTTGTTTTTTTATTTGAAAATATAAAAAAATTATGGGGTTGAGCCACTTTTGGGACGCACCCGTATAATAAAGACAGTACCGAGTTAAATAAATGTAGTTTTCATTTTATCCACTTCCTATCACCTTCCTTGCTTTAATGGAACAGATTTATGTTTTCTCTAATTTACATAAGACATCACTTAACCAGAAAAAAAATTACAACAATCATATTTTTTTTTCTCTCCCTGTCGCCGATTCTATTATATCTGTGGAATAGATCCTGTTTTGATTAATATTAGGGGTTGTAAATGTTTGACTAAAATTAATAATTTATTATTAATTTCAAAAATTACGTCATTTCGATTATAAAATTTCTTCTATAACGTGTATTTTATTATTTTTATCCTTTTTGGACTCTAAGACGTTTTTTCTAAACTTTTATTTAAAAAACCTGTCCTAAATCTTAATAAAATATAAAAAAGTTTAAATACGATATATTTTTAATTTAATTATAGCTTCATTAAAATAAAAAAATTACCCGGCTATGCTACGGAGAGTTCAGGTGTACTTGAGAAACGAAAGACAGTGTTGTGTTTCTCGGCAGAGTCGTCAGGGAACGACCCTTACGACAGAGACAACCTATCTATCGCTCGTGTCGCACTCGTTATAACCTAAAACAATAACACAGCAATAACAAGACAGTGTCTGACCGCATGTTCCAGCTATTTATGAATGAGATGCTCAGTCTATATTGTATTTTAAGTCTATGAAGCAAACTATTAGGCGATTTTATGGAGAATATGAGAAGAGAAAAGGCAGAAGAACAAGAGAAGCTGCGAAAAGAGAAAGCAGAAGAACAAGACCGCCTACTGAAAATTCTGGAAAATCAAGACAAAATATTCGAAGATTTGAAAATTCAACGACAACAAGACAAAGAAGAAGAACAGGACCGGCTTGAGAAAATTTTAGAAGATATGGAAATTCAGCGACAACAAGACAAAGAAGAAGAACAGGACCGGCTTGAGAACATTTTCGAAGATTTGAAAATTCAACGACAACAAGAAGAACAGGACCGGCTTGAGAAAATGTTGGATAATTTGGAAATTCGTTTGGAGGAGCGACGTCAGAGAGAAAAGCAAGAAGAACAGGACCGGCTTCAGAAAATTTTAGAAAATCAGGAAATTCGACTTCACAAAAACTTCGAGGATATGAAAAAGGAGCAACAAGTAATGTTGGAAGTACGTTGCCAGGAACAGCAAAATCACCTTCAAGAAGCCGTAGAAGATCTTGAGGAACGCCTTCAGCAGAAAATGGAAAATTAGAGATGGACCTACAGAAGACCAAGGCACAAGTAAGCGAGGACACCTGGCGTTTATGGAACGCTGCGAACCTCAAGGCCCCCGACCTACGATGGACAAAACGACATGGACAATGTACCACCGTCGGTTGAAGCAGCCGCCGCTGCCAACGGATGGACTGATTCCAGGAGAAAAGCAGCGGCACTTGTCATCGCGCTGCGTGGCCCTGCCTGGAACTGTTGCAAACTATTCCTGCAGCCCAACAGCAGGAATACCAAACTTTGGTCGCTGCACTGGACAGAAGATATGGCGACCAACATCGACGCCAACTTTGTACCAGGCCCAGATCAAGACACGCCTGCAGAGGTCCAGAGAGAGTCTGCAGGAATTTGAAGCAGACTTACGTCGGCTGGTACACCTAGCGTATCCTGAAGCACCGGAAGGATTTAGGGAGGAACTCGCTGCTCAGTGCTTTATCAGGCGCAGAGGGCGCTGCAAATATCCTGATTTTCTACCAGCAGCGAAGCACTGGTCAGGGCGCTGGAAATCGAAGCTGCTTTTAGCGCCATCCCTAGACCGAAGATAAGATCGGTAACGGTAGAGGAACAGCCCGAGAGTACCCACAGAAGTTTGGAGGAGATGTGTAGAAAATTCGACAAACTATGTGAGCTACTAATAAACAAGTAAGTCAACAACACCCAGACAGAGAACCAAAGAAGATTCCAGGACATGAGGTGCTATGGATGCGGCAGGAATGGCCACATCAAACGGTATTGTCGCATCCAAATGCGATTCCATTCACCATCCAGAGAACATCGGCACATCGGAAGATCCCAGGACATAAGTTGCTATAGATGTGGCAGGAATGGCCACATCAAACGGGATTGCCGCGTCCAAATGCGATTCCGTTTACCATCGAGAGAACATAGGCACCCGGAAATCAACACTAATGAGCGAGTATTGGCTGAAGAAAACAGAGCCCCTAGGATGTTTTCCGTTAGGAGTCTAGGAAAAACCGCTGACAGTTTGGTGATCAACGGGAAGGTCAATGGTAGAAGAAATCGAATGACTGTGGACACAGGCGCTATGGTATCGTTGGTGCAGACTAACTCAGTGCGAGGATTGAAGATGATGCCTCTTAGAAGAAGAGTGTATTTACGTACAGTTACGGGGGAAATGGCCGTTGTACGGGGAGAGGCTTTCATGGAATTGGAGTTAGGGAATTTGAAGTTTCGGCATAGCGTTTTAGTGGCGGACATTGAAGATGATTTTATCATGGGTATGGATGTGATCAGTCAACATGGTTTTTCGTTTGATCACCATAGAAACATCCTGAAAATCGGAAATGAGGAATTTTCTGTATCTAAAGAGAAGAGACCAGGAAATATGGAAGAAATATTATCGAAAATTGTGATGATACCTGGTGATACCAAGAAGACTGTGTTCGGGAAACTAGAGAAAACCGTTGGGTGCCGTGTAGGACGGGTACAAATTATCGACAACGACCTAGATCGACGACGAGCTACCTTGGACAAGAAAATGAAACATCGCGAAAGCACTATCAGAATAAGGAGTTTTAAGCTTGGAGCTGATGAACATGGACGACGACACAATTGAGGAAAGATCAAATGGAAGATCCAGACATCGGAGCAATACTACGGCTCAAGGAAGGTAACGGCGAGAGACCACCGTGGCAGGATATTGCGGACAGAGGGCTCGTTTTCAAAGCTCTCTGGGCTCAGTGGAATTCACTGGTTATTGAGAATGGATTGTTAAAGCGCACATGGGAAAGTGCGGATGGCAGCACAGTAACAACTCAGTTACTGGTACCAAGGAAGAAAGTTACCCAGGTATTGGAAGAAATTCACGGTGGTAAAACTGGAGCCCATCTTGGGGTAAACAAGACCTTGAGCAAGCTGAGAGATCGCTTTTACTGGGTGGATTATGCGAAGATGTCAAGAAATGGTGTCGACAATGTAAAACTTGTGCAGCCAGCCAAGGACCAAGCACTCGCTCTAGGGGAAAAATGAAACAATATAACGTTGGACTGCCATTCGAAAGAATCGCTGTTGACATTGCAGGCCCATTCCCTGAAACGCACAAGGGCAACAAGTACGTTTTAGTAGCGATGGATTATTTCAGTAAATGGCCAGAAGTTTTTGCCATTCCAAACCAAGAAGCATCGACTGTAGCTGAAGTATTGGTCAATAATGTCTTCAGTAGATTTGGAATTCCCTTAGAGCTTCACACTGACCAAGGAAGGAACTTCGAGTCAAGACTGTTCCAGAAGATGTGTGATCTGCTTGGTATTCACAAGACTAGGACAACAGCTTTACATCCGCAGTCTGATGGGATGGTCGAAAGATTCAATAAGACCATTGAAGAACACCTCTCGAAAATGGTGGCCGAACATCAAAGAGATTGGGATCAACACATACCGCTGTTCCTAATGGCGTATAGAAGTGCAGTTCACAACACCACCGGACTTTCACCATCGAAGATTTTATTTGGTCGAGAATTACGGTTGCCTTGTGACTTGGTGTTCGGATCACCAGACGACGGCACCACAAATGTAGAGGACTACGCGGATGAACTGAAGGAAAGGTTAATGGAAATTCATAAGGCCGTAAGAAGTAAGATTACGCTAGCCAGTGACCGGATGAAAGCTCGTTACGACCTCAGAGCCAATTCTACGGGATTTCAACAGGACGATATGGTATGGTTATATAACCCACAGCGCAAGAAAGGGAGGTCCCCAAAGTTAACTCCAGCATGGGAAGGTCCTTATACAGTCATCAAGAGGATAAATGATGTTGTGTACCGGATTCAACGCAGCCCTAGAAGTAAGATGAAAGTAGTTCATCTGGATCGATTGAAGAGATACCAGACAGGAAACCTTGATCGGGACGATCAAATTTGAGAAGGGGGGCAATGTCAAGGTGTATTACTGGTTGCATAACTGCATACTGCTAAAATCGCAAAGTGCATTGAGGAACCTGGCGCATTCGCCAGAAAAGTAAAAAGAAAATTATAGAATTCTTTAGAAAAATCTAGAAACAACCGCCAGGGTATATAAGGCCCGCGCTTTTGACAGTTGGACAAGTTTGAAGTCTAAAGTCTGAAGATAGTCTGAAGTTTGAAAATACCGCGAAATACCGTTAGAGTAATAGTAGTTGCATAAGTTGTGTTGTAAATAGTATAAGTTGTGTGTACAGAGTGAAACAAATAAATTCGTTAAGTATTTTATCGTGAGTTTAAATAGTGGACCCACGGAATCCGTAACAATATCAAACTATAAAATATTAAAATGAAGGTTAATTAATATAGTTGCAAAATAATATAATTTTTAGTTAACACGCTATTTTATTTAATACATTTTTTTGAACTTGAAATTATTCTTTAGCAAACAACTACTTCTTTGGGCTGGGCATGAAAAAACTGGTAACATAAAATAACGTTTAATAATTGTATAAATAATAAAAATAAAACAAATATTATTCCTGCCCTAAAACATAATAGGTTTACTCTTCGTTTGGTTTATTACGTAAGTTGTGAATCTTTTCAAAAATTTAGGGTACTCCCTTTTGTACACAGCCCTTAGTACTGAGGCTGGAGCCCAACCTCCAGGATTAACTGAAACAAAAACAAGCTATAAGTACAGATAATAACTACATTAACTACATAGAAGCGACAAGGCGAGTGGGATATGGCGACCAGGTAAAAAAACTAGTTTTTTTTGCAAACACATGTTTTAAAAAGGTAAAATATACCCTTTCAGATTAGTAAGCCCCTTTAAAACACCATTTACTGTTAATGACAGTTATAATTTTTACTAATTTCTTATCTTTAATCTTTATATTGTTAATATACAGGGTTGTCCGAATTGTATTCCGGAAACGTCGGCAGTATATTTTACAGATAAAAATAAGTAAAAAGGTTCATATAAATTTATGTATGGATGTAGAATTATAACTTTCATTTCAATTTTTTCCAAATAATTTCTAAGCTAACGCCGATTTATTTAGATGAAAATTGGTGCCTGGGTGTTTTTTGACATGAGAAATTCGATTTCGAATAACTTTTAGTCCGTACCTGTATAAAACTATTGAGTAAAAAAATATACATTTCCGTTATTTTTTACGTAAAAAAGGTCTCTTGGTAAAAATCGCTGTGGGTAATGGTTCTCAAAATATTTGGGATCTAAATAGTCAATACATTATACATGTTGACTGGATAGTTATTATGGAGTCTGAAATAATATATTTAAAATGTTTTTGTGCGAAAGATTCAACAGAAACTGTTTTATAGTATTTTTTGAGCGATGGGAAAAACCGATTAATTTCAATAATCGAGTACTCGAGTATCAAGCGATTGCAATAACCGAGTATCACTCGAGCGAAATATCGCTCGTATTTAAAAATACGGTTTTTTGTGCGTCGCATGTTGTAAGTACTCGTTAACGCCAAGCGCCAAGCGGTAAAGCGGCGTTTACACGATACAAGTTTTGCTTGCTTAAATACTTGATTGCAAGTACTTGCAATTGAACATTTTAAAATTGTATGTTTACACTAGTCAAGTTATTGCGCAAGAACTATGGATACCACAGAGATTGTTAAATATGGCGTAAATATTTAATGTCGTACGTTAAGTACATGTAATGATTTGCGTACTTTGTAAGAAAAATCAAAAAGCAAGCGTATGGGTAAAACCATGGATAAATCTAAGGAAAAATTATTTATTCCAAAACGCTTTCAGAGACAGCATCTCTCATATTTTGATTTCTATAGTGTACACTAAGGTGTACGCTTCAACGTTCTACAAATATTGGTGCTTTTCGGAAATTTAACAACCTCATAATTTGGTCGTCAGACAACCAGCTCGGTGCCATTTTTTCGTGCAACTGCTACTGCAATAAGTTGACAATGTGTTTACATGTCAAATTTTCGCTCTGCAAGTCCTAGTGTGCAAGAAAAGTAGACCGTCGATCAACTTTACTTGCAAAGTAATTTTTCTTGTACAATCAGTTGAGCAATTACTTGAAACACAGTTTACATTAAGTAAGTACTTGCAATCAAGTTCTTGCGCAAGCAAAACTTGCATCGTGTAAACGTAGCTTAAGCTGCGATTCGCTTGGTTTTGTTTATTTCGAAGCATTGTCGATGTAGGTCGTAAGGATAAATATACCGGGTGTGTCTCAAAAGTGGCTCACCCCTATAACTTTTTTATTTTTCTTTCAGATAAAACAACCAGATTTGGTATGTTAGTATAAGACATAAATTAGGATTGATTGACATATTCAATTGTTTTCGGCCACTTCCGGTTTCACCGGAAATGACTACAACTTTTGATTTTTAAATCGCACCCTCGGAATTTTTTTACTTTATTCGGTAGAAAATGACACTCTGAATAGAATGACATATCATATGTCAATTTTGACATTTTTGCATATGGTTTATTTGAAATTATACCTTGCGGTTTGTAACGAAAATTTGACTCGAAATACAAAGTGTGTGGTATCAAATTATTCGTAAAAAAATTCTTTTTCGAAATATGCTAATGAGCCACCCTCGTTCCATTTTGAAAAAAATGAGATATGATCAAAAATACGATTTGGGCATCTTTTAACCGGCCAGGGCAAGACACTAAAAGCATTAGACAATCAGATTTATTTTTCCAAGGCTCCTTGATTAAAAATTAGTGTTTTTAACACAGCCATGGCACTCTAGATTGAAATTTCAAATACAATTTGTTTTTAAGCGAATATGTCAAAAGTTGACATATGATACGTCATTCTATTTAGAATGTCATTTTCTATCGAATAAAGTAAAAAAAATACGAGGATGCCATCTAATAATAAAAAATTGTAGTCATTTCCGGTGAAACAGGAAGTAACAGAAAACAATTGAATACGTCAATCAATCCTAATTTATGTCACATACTAACATAACAACTTTTTTACTTATTTTTATCTGTAGAATATACTTCCCAAGTTTCCGGAATACAATTCGGACCACCCTGTATATTTTTATTTTCTGTAGAAATAAAAATACATGCCGAAATAATCGATAATATAGGCTGAGAAGGAATAGAAAAGTAATTCATTCATCTTTTTAATCAAAATGGCAAAAGAAGTACTGAAATGCCCATCCTTAAGATATTTGCTTTTTTATCCTATGTAATTATGTTTAGTTTTAATTTAAATAGTTTTTTTTTGAAACTGTATTTACTAAATTTAGAAAAAAAAACTAAAATGAGTGTATGATGTGTGACACAAAAAATAATTATGTAAAAAAATCATTTAGTCGTGTATTTAAAAATTTCCTATGACTGAACAGAATCCTAGAAAAAAAATCAGTGTAATGAGTTTGACAGTCGAAATATCACTTCTAGGTCAAAACATTTGGGATATAGATACTTAAAAGACTGTGACTCACTGTTGCTTGTATATAGCTAAAATATTCACTGAATAAGATTAGGACTAATATCTGAACTATAAACCATTTATAAAATATCAATATAGTATTTCTGAAGAATAAATGTAATTGCAGAAGATAACATATTCTGTTACGGAAGATTTCGACAGAAAATGTAGTAGCAGAAGAAAATAGTCTGTCAATGAAGATTTCAACAGACATCCAAACAAAAAAGAAAATATAATTTATCAGTAAATTAAATTAACAGATCCAACTGTCTCATTGGACAAGCTATATCTAAGAAAACAACAGAAAAGATCTAAATTTAATACTCACCTACTGAACAATATGTAATTTTACAAGACACATTATCTCTTGTGATAGGAGTACCATCTTTAGGAGGATGTACCCTCGTCTGACATAAAAGGCATACAGTTAAATATATCCTAACACATTTTCCCACGTTTGCCTTGAAAAAAAAAACAAATCGGTAATTAACTGGATGATTATCATAAAAAAAAGGACTCTTACAGGATGAGAAGGATCTTCAGTCGAATTATTTACAACTGTCCACATGTCTGGTCCGTCTCTGTCCTGATCGTTGGGCAGTTTTCTCATATGCGACCAAAATACCGCTTCCCTTTGACTGGCCGGCCATATCCTTTTGTGGGTCTGTAGGAACATTAAGGTGTCGTCGGATATCGTTTCCAATACGGTCATATGTTCCAGAGTGGCTAAAATTAAACCAAACCATTTCAAAATAAACCAATAAGTTTCAATGAAATAAGAAAGAATTTAAGTGGATACTCACTTTCCCAATCGTATCGGTATTTGGGACTGAAGAAATAATGACAAACTTCGTGTCCAGTGATACCTTTTACTACGTGCACGGCTTTGAGTGGATCAACGACCATTCCATCGACTTCTTCCTCTCTTCTGTACATTTTCATTTCACCATCTTCAGCGAAAAGTTGCCAGCCAGTTCCGCATTCGCCAATACCCATACGCGCCATAGCAACTTGCTGTTTTACCATTTTGTCAATCTGAAAACGGGGAATGATAAGTGATACAAATGAAAACACTTCCGAAGTAGCACTTTTAGACACAAAATCGAAACAAAATCTCTGCTGACAAACACTGCGAAACAGTTTCGTCACATTTTTAATACATATGTTTCGTATAACATAAATCGTTTTTTGTACGAAACAGTTTACCAAAATATAGTTTCGCTACATAAGCTATTACAATAAAGATCTTAGTGTCACAAATTTTTCGAAACTTTTAATAACAGATGTGGCTCATATTTACAAAGATTTCGTACCCGTTTTGTACCTGAAAAGTCTCCATAATTTAATTGATTTGATATTATGTGTCAAAATATGACAACATAACCTTACTTTATTGTTTGGATTTTGTTATGCAGTTTTTGCATTTAAGCATTCTTCAAGTTTTTATAGTACTATAATTAAAAAAAGCAAAGGGAAAGACATATGGTGGGTACAAATACAGATATTTTTCTTATGCGATTTTATACGAATTACAGAGATGATGTGTTTTAGGAATAAATGTAATAACAGCCACTACCTATACCCTATACCCAACAGAAGATCGAAGAACAATGTTACCAGCAAACGTTTTTTTTCTTTTTTCCACAGTGGAACACATGTTTTTATGTTTTAATTGTATTTTTGACCAGAAGTTTTGAATGGCGTTGTTGACAGGTCACTAGTTCGAAATTCTTATACAGATAGCGCTAAATCGAAACATTTTGGAAACAAATTTGCTTCATGAAAATGACATTTTTTTGTGCGAGAAAACCTAAAATTACTAAAAACAAAGATCTTAAGACATTACTTAAAATGTGTCCAAAAATGCTACTTGGGTAAAATAAAATAAAATACTAAAAGATACAGCACACTACCACAATGTTATACTTACTTCTGGCCAAAGCCGATGCTGCACAGCCGGTGAAATGGGAGGTGGTGTAACGGGAATCTGTCCAGATTTTAACCTATCTCTAAATTCTTGTTCCTCTTCCATTTTGTCTAACCCGGATTCGACGGCATCATAGAACTCATCGTCACCTAGGACGCTATGAGGCCCCTCCTAAAATCAATCAAAACACAAGATTTTAGTTATTAAATTTACATTGTCAATATAAAATATTGTTCAGTTGTTACTTTAAAGTAGTACTTTTTGGTTCTTTATATACTTTGACATCAGAGTTGAAGAGAAACTAGCCTTATTCTCTAAAGAATACCTAGTAACCTAAGCTCAAAACTAACAATTACTTGTAATAAAAATACACAATGGCGATAATAGCTGTAATGTAATTCATAAAATTTAAGTTATGCTGGTACAACTCACAATAATGAGGTATCAAAAATATAATTAGCATTTTCATTTCAAATTTGGTAGTATATGCCCTCCCCCCAATTCACAACATTCTTAAGGCTATATAAATAGTAATTTACTTTAGTGGTTATATTCTTTTTTGTGCAAAGCTATATAAATGCAGTAAAGTAATATTTGAAACATTATAAAACTATCATGGGTTTATAATAATTTTATGAAACATTTAGGTTTTATAGAAACAAAAAAAATTTAATGATGGCCAAAGGTTGGCATACCTATATTTCATCCTATATTTCTTGAATTACCCTATATAAAGTTATTGTATAGCGTAAGTAGGTTACAGTTGAGAGTTGGAACCTTAGTTCTTAATTAACTTAGTTAAATTCTTAATTTAACTTAGTTAAAATATTTTTTTTTCTCTTAATTAACTTAGTTAAAATATAAAATTCGTTCTTTTCAACACATTTAAATATTCTGACTCAAATTTTAAATAGTTAAAAAAAGTACTGGTTGGAATTTTTGAAGAATAAACATACATTGTTTAATTTTCTTCCTATTGGCTTAAACATAAATACTATTGTGCTATTGCTTTATGTTCCATTAGAGAATGAATAACACATTTTTAGGCAACTTACTATAATTGGTACTAATTTTTAAGTTGTATAATATTAATTTTTTCTACTTTTAAGACAACGTTTATAAAACACTTATTTTCTAAAAAATGTGATACATTTGTAATATTTTTTTTTATACATTTTCAAGGTTGTATTGAGCTTGATTTTTATAGGAAATACAATTAAATTAATAAAATCCAAGGACTCGAAGTTTATCAAAGGAAACTGAACTAGACAAAAAATCTAATTAATTCTCTACAAGAAAATATATTAGTAATAGTTGATTTATTAGTAACAAGAGTAATTTTAGTTAATACTGTTAAATGTAAACAATAAAATGCAACCATGCGACATATTTCTAAATAAAGAAACAATCTCCATGTTATCAGGTTTTAGCGATATTACTCATAATGTAACAATTAAAAACAATTCTATTTAAATTATTCAGAGGATGGGAATATGGAAAATGGAAATAACAAAATTATACGAAGTAGTCATACTATCAATCGTATCAAATTTGACAAAATTCTATTTCTTGTATTTCGTTTTGAACATTCCTAATTTAAATAACAATAGGGTGGACCATTTTTTATATTCTTACTTAATACAAATATTGTCATTTTTTGTCCTAATTAAAAGTATATAATTGAGGCGTCAAGTTGCAAAACCCGTCTTATCCCAAAAATGTTGTTTCGAGATAATACAGTAGAGATAATATGCGAAAACTATTTTAGCAAATGTTTGAAGCATTATTTTATAAAAAAAACGTGTTAATTAAGTGGAATCATTGTTTTGTATCTCGTTTTCTAGAAATAAAAATTAATATTTAATTTTTAAAGAGAAAAAACACAAAAATAATTCGGATAAGGCGGGATTTGTTGCAGTATGTATATTGCGGGTTTTGCTACAGCAAGGTACAATATAATTGAAAAAAAAACGGCGTCAGCGATAGCTATGGAATCTGTCGAATGGACTGTCGCTGTCAGTTTATATGTAAAATTATATGGATAATGTCATAGATCGTCATTTCCAAGCCAACTGGACGCCGCCGCCGTTTTTTCGATCATACAGTATTTGCATCCTCACTTGATTTATTAGATATGCTCTTTTATTAAAATTAAGGAAGGATTTGAAATGGATAAGACATCAGTAGTAATATTATATTTTTCTAAAAAGCCTATAAAAATGCGGGATTTGCAACAATAATGACAATAAAAAACAACTATAATTGGATAAGATGGATTTTACTGTAGAAACGTAAATTGCAGTGAATTCTATATACAGGTGGCGCACCTCATCCACCTCGGTTGATTATACGAAAATGGAAAGATGTAGAAACAAAATATTTTACAGGGTGTTTCAGAACTAAGATCCATACCAAAGTTATATTTTGTCTTATGGAACACCCGGTATTTTATTTTATTTTTGGATTCTTGGGCCCAAAAAAAGGTATTTACTATAAGGGTTTAATATGTTTAAAATCTTTGGTTTTTTGAGATATTTAAGGTTATTTAAAAATGTATGCTACATTAGAATAGATTATTAACACCCTGTACACTGCCGTTCAGAACTAATTCCTGCGCTGACTTTTAAGCCAGAGAAATAAACTTTACTGAAAAATTTGATTGCTTCGTTTAATGTATACAGGGGTATCAAAAATCGCTGGTCTATTTTAAATATTTATTTTACATTAAAACTTCGTTATTTCAAACACAACACCCTGTATTTTTTTAAATAAATCCAAGTAGATTCAAATGCTCTTTCAAACTATATTAGGGTTTCCCATACCTATCTAGCTCAGATTTTGAATAAAAAGCGATTTTTCAATAAAATAGCATTTCACAAGTGAACGTAAAATAAATGAAAAAACTACTTCTTCGTTTTTCTTGATAGAATAATAAATACATATTTAATAAATATTATTTAAAAAACTACTGTAGGCAAATTAAATAAAAATTAACTGCTATAAATTTAAATAAAGTCCATAAACTAATTTTGATTTTCAAAATAGCTACCAACTGTCACTAGAAACTTGACATCAGCCATGTTGGTTGCCATTTTATTGAAAAATAGCTCTTTATTCAAAATCTGAGCTAGATAGGTATAGGAAACCCTAATATAGTTTGAAACAGCATTTGAACCTGCTTCGATATATTTAAAAAAATACAGGGTGTTGTATTTGCAATGACGAAGTTCTTATGTAAAATAAATATTTAAAATAGTCCAGCAATTTTTGATACCCCTGTATATATTAAACAAAGCAATCAAATTTTTCAGTAAAGTTTATTTCTCTGACTTAAAGGTCAGCACCAGAATTAATTCTGAAAAGCAATGTACGGGGTGTTAATAATCTATTCTATTGTAGCCTGCATTTTTAATTATCTTTAAATATATCAAAAACAAAAGATTTTAAACATATTTAACCCTTATAATAAATACCTTTTTTTGGGCCCAAGAATCCAAAAATGAAATAAAATACAGGGTGTTCCATAAGAAAAAAATTAACTTTGGTATGTATCTTAGTTCTGAAACACCCTGTACATTTCAAAATAATTTTAAATTGTGCACAGTGCCACCCCACATATACTCATAAAATATTTTGTTTCTACATCTTTCCGTTTTCGTATAATTAACCGAGGCGAATGAGGTGCGCCACCCTGTAGAAATAGGCGACTTTTGCTGCAGTTTGGGACTATACTTAGGTAGATTTCAGAGTCCTACTATTAATATATGTCATTAGGTAATTTTTTTAATGGATAAGGCGGGTTTTACAACCCGACGCTCCAATTTTAAGCATTATCTTTGTTTGAATATTCTCTTCACAATGTTATAAAATTGAATAAAAAAATTCTGGTGGAAACCCTTCAATGCTACACACGCAAGACGAAAAAAATCCATTAACTAATTACGGTAATTTTCTGATATGAATCTGTGGGCCTGGTGACGCTAGTGGTAGTAAAAATAACTGTATTATATTAACAAACACGTTTGTATGGAACAAATAAAAATTACAATCTAAATCAATAAACCGAAGTTTTACGACCTTTCTATGTACATTCATCGACTGTTTTTTTGTATTCCGAAAAAATCGATTTTTTATAAAATATGGAATTTTGATAAATCAGAACACATATTTATGTTTCTTAACGAGTACTTAATTAGATACATATTTTAATTAAAACTTTCTTCAGAAGGTATGTTAATTATACGGTAAATGACCTACCCAGCCTAAAAGTTTTATGTGCCCTTTAATTCAATGGTTCTGCATTGAAAAGTAATTCTTAAGTTATGATATAGTTAAATATTTGCGCAATCGTATATTTTGTATACCGGGTGCGTTTTAAAAGTGGCTCACCCCTATCACTTTTTTGTTTTTTCAGATAAAAAATCGAGATTTGGTATGTTAGTATATGACATAAATTAGGATTGATTAACGTATTCAGTTGTTTTCGGTCACTTCCTGTTTCACCGGAAATGACTACAACTTTTGATTTTTAAATGACACTCTGAATAGAATGACATATCATATGTCAACTTTTGACATTTTCGAATATGGTTAATTTTAAATTGCAACATGCGATTCATAACGACATTTGACTCGAAATACCAAGTGTGTGGTACCAAATTATTGGTAAAAAACGCTTTTTCCAAATATGCCAATGAGCCACTCTCGTTCCATTTGAAAAAATTGAAATATGAATAAAAATAGGCTGTACTTAAACTGCCGTTAAACGGTAGCTTACTAAAATGCCGTTAATAGGTATGACGTCGTTGATGTGACGAACTTGACGGCTTTATGAAATATAGGAATTTTATAAGGACTAACCAACGCTATCCACCCCACCAAATAACCAACTTAACCAACGCAACTAACCTCTACACTGATAAAAAAATTTAAAAAACAAATATAAATTAGTAAAAACCTTGTAAAACCAACCAACCCCACCAAATAACCAACTAACCAATGAATTAACACCCTCCAAATAACCACGCTAACCAACTCGCCAAATAACTAAACCAATCCAACCAAAAAAAGTGAAAAAAAATATAAAAAAGTTTTGGTCAGCGTGAGATTTGAACCCCGGACCATTCGCTCACGAACCGATAGCCTCAGCCACGGAACCACAGGTGCTCTTG